ATTTTTCTCATATTCCATATGCACAGAATGAACTCATTTCAGCCCGAGGATGAATGAAAACTCAATATTTACCATACAGATCCACCATGCTTTGCAAACAAGACTAGAAAAATGCCCTCTCACAATGAGGTTATCCATACCATCTTTCTGATGAGCAAAACAAGAGGAAACAGTTCAAAGCTCTTGGAAAGTCATATATATAATTTTTCAAAAGACATCTGCAATTCACCAGTGAGGTTCTAGACCTAGCATAATTTATTTAGCAGTCTGTATATAGAGATGCAAATATGCCAAGTTCAGACATTTCTTTAGCACCTCCATAAAATTCATTTTAAAGTATATAAATATTCATACTTTGCATAGTCATCTCAGCATGTGAAGTTTTTATTTTTATATCAAATTCCTGCAAAGAGTCTGAAATAAAGTAAAAATGTATTAATCCTAAAGTATGCACACAAACACATGCAATTTCTTTACATAAACACTTCTGAACTTCTGGGTGATTATCGCTTGATTACAAAGAGATCCTTAAAAACTATCTTCACTAATCACGCACTAATTTTTAACATACTTGAAAACAAGTCAGGTTTTACTGCTGTTAGACAAGTTGATCCACACCTGAAAGCACAAGGTGGCTTTCAATTTGTGCCATGGTTATTGTGTGCCTTTGTTGCTACAGAAACGGGCCATGGGTGAGGGCAGTGTCCAACAAGTCCAAGGGCTCAACGGGTTGAGCAAGAGTGTCTGGGTGCCTCGGCAGAGCCTCCTGCTGAGCCAGCACTACCACTGTCACACGAGTTCTTTGCTAAGGACGAGATCAGGGGACAGCAAAACAGGTAAAGCTGAACAATGACACCCCATGGGTCAGAGGTGGGTTACATGGCTCCAGGAGGGATCACAGAAATGCAGAAGGGATGTGTGCTTTGAGGAACAGCATAGAAGTATTTGTTTAGATACATTTAAAGATTCAGAGACAAGTCTTTTAATATCAGTCTTTTTAGTGAGAGAAGATGCAGCTTTCCTACAGAACAAGAAGGTGCAGTCCTACCATATAGCACAATCCAAGGCCTACGTTATTATATTTGTAACTGCATATGTGTCTTATTTTCTTTTTTAAACACTCAAACACATTCAGAAATAAAGATGTTTGGACAATGAAGACTCTCAAAGAAAATTTATGGGACACCAGAATGCTTAAAAAAAAAAAAAAAAAAATCTAAGTTTTATTATAAGCATCATGACACTGACATGCAGATTTTAATCATGCTGGTTGCAATTATACAAATCAGTGTTCCAACCCACAGAGAAGTCAGTTTTCACATACACCACATTAACACAGACACTAAACAGGATTTGGCATGCTGCCGACAGAGAAGCCTAGTTCTGGAATCACGTAATATTAAGTCTGGGGTTACTTGATGCAAGATTACAAGGTAACAAGCTCAAAAAAAAGAGGCTACAAAAACATCACAGGAAAGAAAATTACTTTAAATAAAAGAAAGAAATTATATTTCAGTATTTGGATGGCATTTGAAAATGCTTTTTTTGCATGCAACCACACCACAGAGCTAATATTGTGTGTAACTGGAAACATTAAAAAAAAATTCTTACTAAAGTCAAAGATAGCAATGGTGAACAATGAGATCTGTCCTTAGATAAAAGGGGGGAAACTGAATAAAACTTGTTATATCTGTTATAGATACAAACCTACAACCACACTCCATAATACTCTTACATCTAAAAGAGGGGAGAGAGGGAAAGAGAGAAAATGAAGGAGAGAAGTACACAAGACACAACAGCAAGAGTTAGCAAGTACTATAAATTAATGTTTCAAACACAGACTTTAGACAGGACTACATGACTTTGATACAGAACAACTGAAATAGCACAGTTATAGCATTTGTTGATGTACAATCCACTGGAAATAAAAGGCCTACCTGAGAGACTGTCTACCCCAGGTTTACTAGCTAGCAAAACACTGGGCTTGATAGGTTCATAATGATCTTGAAAAGCAACTCAGCAGCCTTATGGCTATATTAAGAACTTTAAGAAGCCTTCCAGGTAGTGCTCCAAGAAAAGGTAAATTAGCAAAAAGCTGTCATTTACCAACATTTTAAAAAGACCTAAAAATGTTTGTGTTGGCTCTTACCTCTTGTATATGAGCACTTCACTCATTTTGTACATTTAAAAACCCTCCTTGCACAAGAACATGCTTGAGGAGTACTGTCAATGTGTGCTGAGAAGTCAAATGCTCTTTTAGTTCTGCTAAAATACATATAATTTATTTTGTGACTATCATAAATACATAAAAAACAAAGAGGAAGAGTTGTAGCAGACCACCTGTGAAATTTTCTTCAGTAGCTGGAAATATCCGTTGTCAATGCACCAGCAGCCAGAGCTGTTTCTGAAAAAAGCATGCAACTTTGGCAAACTGATCTGATAGTCTATCTGGGAATTTCTGCCAGAAATGCCACGACTTCAGTGTGCTATTACTTGCAAAACATGTTTCTTCCCATCATTCTTCAGCCATAAGGTGGGAGGAGGAAAAGATGAGCAATAGCTGTGCTGTATCCTTCCAAGCTGGTTCTTCCCATTATACAACTCCTAATCCAAACAATTTAAGCACACAAGTAAAAGCTACTCATTTCTGTAAACATTTCCAGGAGCAGGACCTAAGCTTGCAAGACTTACACCAAGTATATACTAATGGCTAGAGCTAACCTCAAGTTTACTTCTGTTTAAACAGCATAAGCAAAAACCAGTGCTGGCCAAACTGAAGTTTAAGCCTTAATAAAAGGGGGTAAACTGAATATTGATATAAGCCACTTGGTCACTAGGGACCCATCTCAATCCAGCATTCTCAGTGCAATATTGTATCATGCAACGGTTTTCCCAGAAGCACAAACAATGTTTCTCAACCATTAAAAAATAAAAAACAATGTTTCAGAGCATGCTTTTATACCCCAGCAGCAGGGATCTCTTTACTTTAGGATAACATAGTCACAGAAAACAGAAACACAACCCAGCTTGTTTGTTTGTTTGAAAATGAAATTCATCACGGCATATCCAATTAACTCTGGAATGCATAAAACACAGCACCCAAGCAAACAGAGGCTTTAAATTTAAGAGCAGCTTTCAGTCTGCTCTGTTAAAAGCTGTGTATGGCAGTAATCGACAACGTATTTATTACGAAAGATTCATACAACAAAGGGGAAGGACTTTTAAGCTTTCAGCATTGGAAAGGGTCAAACCAATCTGCAAAAGCATAATATGAAGCAAAGCCATTTAAATTACTCCTAAAATGTAGACATTCATTAGCATAGAAGAGTTTCATGGGAAAACAATGACAAAGTAAAAGTCATCCAATTTTCATATGCTAATTATTTAAATATGCCAAATGCATTTAATCTCTTATTGTAAACATAGGGGGAGACAGACCAAACTCTTGAAGCTCCAAAAAGCCAGGTCATTAGAGTGCCAAGTAATTCTTCAGATCTTCTCCTTATATACAAATTTCCCAACTTATAGCATATGTAAGTAAAACTTGACTCCCCCTCCCACCCCCTCCATTTCTCCTTCTTTGGAAGGCCCTTGCTATTTCTCATTCCTGTATTTTAAAGTCTTATTAAATGCTAGAAATAACTCATTTCCTAGAGAAAAAAAAAAGCCCTAAAAGCACAGAAGCCATTTTGCCAAAGGCCTGAGTTAAACACCCCAGACCCTCTAAGAAATAGAGTAAGCTAGCTGAAAATGAGATTAACAACATTCTTGCACATATGCACAAAAATCTACACATAGTTTGTAGTCTTCAAGTTCAGATGACATTTCTAGCCATTTCTTGCCTTTCCAAACAAGAAAGGGATTCCTATGTTTACGCAAGTTTCTCCTTGCTTAATAAATCTTAAATTGAAACAGATTTTTTTTAAACAATTACCTTTTTCAGAGTTATCATACTACAGGATATTAGGAAAAACCAGACTCTCCTGTTGCTTTTACCCACATCTGACTCCAATCTTAATAGTTTAGCTATTAACCCTGTAAGGTCCTTACACACACACCTTGCCCAGTTGATGTTAAAATTTTTATATGGCTGATCTGGGCTTACTCATTACAAAACCTTTTGTTGCACAGAAAGAGAGCAGCTCCACGGACCTTGATTTACAGGACACAATTAACTGTGCTGTTGGCAGAACTGCACCAGCCCGGCTCATCCGGGGCTCTGCAGGGAGAAATGAAAGGATCTGTCACTGCATCAGAGTAACAGCACTCTCCATCGCCTTTCCTTTCCACTCCCTGCCCAAGCTCGTTCTGATCTACTCACATCTTGGGATGAAAACCCGGCCTTTGTGATATACCTGTCTTGCAAAGAAATAGTACAAATTACCCTAATTCCCCCTGGAAATAGTAAGAACTGCAGCTAAAGGGGAGAAAACCTCGTCCTACTAGAAAAATCTCAGTATTTACTCTAGAGTTTGCTGTGCAAAACATCTCAGTGTTTAAAGATCTCAGTTACCAGCTTACCAACGATCACAGGGAATTTCGCCACAACAATGCTAGCAACTAATTATGCCATTTCTTAGATTTTGGCTTGTTGGGAATACGCATTGTTAACCATTAAATTCCACTGTATAAACATTTCTCAGGGAGCCTGTAAAATACCCCCCGCTGCGTTTCCTCGCTCTCCAGCTGACAGCATTTAGAAGCACTGGTACTGGCGGGTGCTTTATTTTACCTCCCTGGGCCACCCCCGCTGGGGTACAGTGAGAGATTGCTGTCAAAGGCCGGACCCAGCCGCCCCGGGCTGGGGCCACAGCGAAGGCGTCTGAACTCAGCCCAGCCCGGCCCACTGATAAATGGTGACTGCTGGAGTTTGAAATCCCGAGATGGGCATAAACGTTCTGGGAGAAGGGACCCGCGGACGGTGCATCGCCCTTCCAGAGCTCTCCTCGCTAAGAGAGGAAAGCACACACACACACTTTCGGGAGGCTACAGGAGTGGCTGTGGGATCACCCGCAGTTGAAGCGGGCAGCGCGGAAGGTGCCGCCGGGATGGCAGCCCAGCCTCCCACCGCGCCAGGCTCCCCGCTCGGGCCAGGAGAGCGCCCGGAGGCGGACGCTTCGCTCAGGATAAGGGAGAGGGCGGAGGCTGCCTGGAAGGGGCCAGTTGTCACGCACTGACAGGCAACAGCTGAGCTCCCGCATCTGGACCCGCACTCAGACCGGCGACCGTGGCGCGCCGCTGGCCCCGCCGGGCACACCGAGCCGGCACGGCGGCGGCGCCGCGACACCTTCCCCGACACCTTCCCCGACAGCCGCCGCGGGGCTCGGCGGGACGCCCTGCGCTCCTCCGAGCCGCAGCCCCGTCCGACAACTCCGCGCAGGACGAGCGCCGCTCCGGGCTCGGGCGGCTTCTCCCCGGCGCTGCAAGCCCCGAGCGGGGCGCAGGACCCCCGCCGCACCGCGGCAAGCGCTCCGCCGCCCGTGGCACGGTGCCGGCTGCGGACGGCGCTCCGCCAAACCCGCCGGGCGTTCCGCCGCGCCGCTGCAGGCTGTCCGCCAGCCGTCACCCCGGGGAGCCTCCACTTACTCTTCCCGCAGCGCAGCCGGACCACGGCGACGTATTCCCGGGAGGCGGTGCGGTCCGTCACACAGACGACGGGGGAGGCGGATACCCAGCTCTGTCCCACGGAGTCAGCGCCGGCGGAAGACGCGCATCTCCGGCAGCGCCGTGCAGGGACCGCCCGGAGCCTCTCGGCCGCCCCGCCGCGACTGCCCGAGCCCCGGC